TAAAAATACATATACATACACAATGGAATTTTACTCAGCCATAAAAAAGAATGAAGTTATGGCATTGGCTGGTAAATGTATAGAACTGGAGGATATTATGCTAAGCAAAATAAGCCATTCTAGCAAATTAATTGACCCTGAGGAGAGAGTAGACCCCTGATTCATACTCAGTTGGCCAGAAGATTAGGTGACTATCTACTACTTATGATGTGCATCTGAAGCAGGACAGTCCTGTGGGACTCAGCTGTTCACCTGTGGGATCTAACACTATCTTCAAGTAGATCCTCTCAGGCTTGAAGTAAATTATAGGAAGCCCAGCTGGTGTATGTTGGAAGGTTGATTGGTTACTGGTAGGGAGAAACTCCCACAAATTTTGATGACCAGAGTATTTAGCACTTTATTGCTTGTAACTGAATAAAAGAAATGGGGCCAGAGATGGACTGTTATGGGTTAAATTTTAATTCCCCTAAATGCATATGTGTGGTCCTAACCCCTAATATCTCAGAATGTGTCTATTATGGGTTGAAATGTGCCCTCCCACATTCATATGTAAAAGCCCTAACCTTCAATATGATGGTATCTGGAGATGAGCCTTTGGGAGGTAATTAGATTTAAATGAAGTCAAGAAGATGGGACTCTGACAGGTTAGTGTCCTTATAAGAGATACCAGATGGCTAGTTCTCTCTCTCCCCTTCTCTGTCAGCATGTAAGGACATGGCAAGTTGGCTATCTGCAAGCCAGGAAGAAAGTGGTCACCAGAACCTATGCATGCTATCACTTTGATTTCTGACTTCCATCCTTCAGAATTGTAAGAAAATAATTTCTGTGGTTTAAGCCACCCAGTCTATAGCCTTTTGCTATGGGAATCTGAGCTGATATAGCAACATTTTTTGAAACTGTCTTGTATATGTAATAACCAAGATGAAGTCATTAGGGTGGGACCCAATTTAATATGACTGGTGTCCTTATAAAAATCGGAAACTTGGACACAGAGACAGATATACAGAGAGGGAAGATGATGTGAAGAGGCACAGGGAGAAGACGACCATCTACTAGACAAGGAGCAAGGCCTGAACAGATCCTCCCCTCACAGACCCAGAAGGACGAATCCTGCCAAAAACTTGATTTCCAACTTCTAGCCTCCAGAACTGTGAGACAATAAATTTCTGTTGTTTAAGTCACCTAGTTTGTGGTATTTTTATTGTGGTATCCCTAGCAAACAAACACAATGCAAAGATTTGGGTAGCCTGGTTTCTTGTGGGGAAATATAGGACTTATGAGACCCACGCCTGCTTGAGAAAAGCCAAATACATGTTTTTATACCAACAAATAATATTTAAAGTCAAAGTTTTCCATTTTAACAAACAGTAAGTTTTCAGAATGAAAATTTTGGGTCTGTAGGATCAAAGGTCATAAGTTTGCTGGCCATTCTTCCCTGCTATATAATTTGAAGGCTTGGGTATTTACTGTTTATGTGAAATACTATCATTTATTTTTACTTCACTCTGTATTAAATTTAGGACAAACTAACACTCCCATGGAACTTGGTATTTTAGAAGATTATTCAATATGTTCCCTTTTAAAATAATGCCAGATGTCCACATGAATTTAGATATTGGCTGATACAATGTATTATTTTATGACAAGCACTTAAACTGAACATATTAGAGAATTTCAAAATAACATTATCAAGACTTGATAGAGTTTATGATATTCAAGAGTATTGACTTTATTTTCCGCAAGAAGCTACTGGAGATTCAAGTATTTGTGTTTCAGTTACAAAAAAAAAAAAAAAAAAACTATGTTAAAGACTATGGTAAAAAAACTGAAGTCAATGCTTTTAATACAATCTCCATGGCAACATGGGAAGAAGCAGCCTGGTGGATGAAATGAAAGCCACAAACTCTCAATTTCAGACCCTAGCATTAACTCACCACAGAAAGCCACGTTTATATACTGGGCATTTCATCTCTGCCTTAAACAGACACTCTGGCTATGCTCAACAAAGGGACATTGCCTAAGTCCTTTGTACTTGATATACTAATTTTACTAAATTAATACTACTTTATCTATACTATGAAAAAGTATAAGCTTATGCACACTGAATTTCTAAGTTGTAGCAGGAAACAAAGTAGCAGTAAATGAAAAATGCAAATGCTGATTAAATTACCCAAATTGCATGTAAAGATAACTCCAAAATGACTTCATTTGAAGAATCAACTGTATTTTATTAAATTAATTAACATGGTAAAAGGAAAGTTAATTTTTAAAAATAGGTATTTAGACTTCGGCTACTAAATGAGTATTCTGACTTTATTATTTTGTTTTCATTTTCTTATTTGCAGTAAGGAAATGTCTTCTATAGGATATTGTATAATAATAAGGCATCAGGGTTTTAGCTGAAGTTTAATGAATTAAGATTTTCCTATAATTACGTCTTTCTATATGAAGGTCACTTGCTAAAACCATAAGAAAAATAAGAAATAAAACTTCCTAAGCTATAAAAATAGAAAATAATAGTTAATATTTACTTAATATTTACTACACCATCTTGGATATTCACATGGATGCTCTCACTGAATCCTCAACATGACTTTAGTAAGTGGATATCATTTTCATTTTATTGCTGAAATGATGAAGCTCAGAGATGCTCAGTAATTTACCCAAAGTTTCCTACTAGAGGAGTGGGAATTGGGGCCTGTGCACTTAATCACTAATATGCTACTGGCTTCTCACAGATGTATTTCATTTGTTAATTTTAGTCATGTAGTAATAGGCCTGGAACCTGACTCAGTTCTTTTTATTCTAATTTAAAGGCAATCCACCAAATTTGATTTATCTGATCACCTAAGATGAGAAGCAATATGATATTAGGATATGTATTTTGGGGGTTTTGGTCCCTGGTTCATATCTCCACAAGGCAGGTCATGGAAACTCTTATCTTCCCCTGCTCTTCTGTTGTGGAGGTGGCCATAAAGAAATGATCTGATCTCACTTTGTGCAAGAGTAGGTTGTAAGACCCTCCTCATTCCAGAGCTCTCCCACTCTGCACCCCACCCTAGAGGGAGGAAGATTGCCCAGAGAGGTCAAGCAAAGTGCTGAAGCCTAAAGGACTTGCTGAGGTTCCCATTCAGTCTAATTGCAAACTAAATACCAATGAAGTCTCCACWAAAAGCTAGGAGGGCAGGCTTTAGAAGGCTTCTGGACAGCTGAACATATGGAGGTTCCTGGAGGGTGATGCACAAAAAGGGCGTGGGAGCTCCATTCCCTTCTCCCACAGCTTGCTCTGTGCGTCCCTTTATCTGTATCCTTTGTTATGTCCTTTATAACAAACTGGTTAAAACATTTTCCTGGTTTCTATGATCATTCAAGCAAATTAATCAAATCCAAGGAGGGGGTTGTAGGAGCCCTGATTTACATCAGTTGGTTAGAAGCACAGGTTAAACAAGCTAGGGCTTGCAATTGGCTTCTCGTGTGTGTGTGTGTGTGTGTGTGTGTGTGTGTGTGTGTGTATGTGTGTGTGTATGTGTGTAAAGGGGAGTGTCAAGGACTGAACCCTCAACCTATGAGATCTGATGCTGTCTCTAGGTAGATAGTGTCAGAACTGGATTGGATTTGAGGATACCCAAATGGTGTCCCCTGCTGCAGAACTGATTGCTTGCTTGGGGTATGTGGGAAACCCTCACATGACTGGTGTGAGAAATGATCAATGTTGTGGGAATGTGTATTGTAGGACAACCTTGGTTTGAGTTTGGGGTTTGTTTGCTTTTCCCAACACAAACAGCAGATTAAAAAGGTTGGGAGTAGGGCTTCCATAAGCAGAAAACATTAAAGAAATATAAAAAGTTGAAACAGGAACTGAGAGCATGCCAAACAGGATTATCCAGAGCAAGAAAAAGATAAACATAGTTTTGGGAAGAAGGTAGAGAGACAGAAAAAGTAACTCCATTTGTTGAGTATCTACTATGTGTCAGGTATTTGCCTTCATCTGCTAATCGTCACAATGGTCTAGCCAAGTCAGTTGTTCTGTTCCTATTTCCAGGCTCAGAGAAGTACAGCAGAAGATTCAGCCTGTGGGATGCAAAGTTCATGCACTGAACACTGCAGGGCAAAGCCTAGCTTGCATGGATTAAGAAACAAAGGGCCTGGGGGTGTACCTTAGCAGTAGAGGGCACTTGCCTAGCATGCATGTCACCCTGGGTTCAATCCTCTGTATCATGGAGGGGAGTCAAGGGGGAGGAAGAAATGAAAAAAGGAAAGAAAATCTCAGAAAGTTTTCTATGAAAATGATCACAATGAAAATAGCTTTGGGCATTGAAGAGAGGTAACAAGATTAAGTTATCTGGAAAATTTACTCACTCAAAATACCATATTTGAAGAATAAATGAAGTATTGTACTGTTTTTTCCAACTTAAAAAGGTTGTGCACACCCCTATCTTTAATTGTCTGGTATTCTTTTCCTAATCTATAGTATCATTACTGGGATTTTACTTGGTGAACATTCTTAGCAAATTCAAGGCATTGGGCCAAGAAATAAAGAGGAGCATGAGAATGCCATTTGGAAGGGTTAGAAATTCAAAACAGAAACACACACACAAGTGTACAGAGTTCAGTCATACACTTCCATTTAGCAATGCCAATTAAATGGAAGGGCTGGGCTTGGTCAATTCTACAACTTTTTTTCTTGCATCCCTTATTGCCTAACGACTATTGTGAATAGGGAAATAGCAGGAAAACATTCCCACAAAGAATGAGCTATTCTAAAGAATACATACAATACAACTTTTCTATATATGACTGAAAAATTAATTAATAAAGGGAAGTCCAGTTTTCTTGTCATGCTGAAAATGCACATTTGTTTCATTTAGCTCTATCTCAGGAAGCATATTATACCCTGCCAAAGCTGCTGACTTAACAATGCTTTTGTGCATGGCCTCCCCACTCCCCACACTGTACCCTTGCTCAGGTGTAAACCCTGGCGCCCACTTAGGCGTGATTACCCCTGGTGCAGCCCTGCCATCGGTGTCTCTCTCAAGGGAAAAAGCTTGGGGTAGACGATGGTAAACATGGGCTCACTACACCGGTGACAGTGCCCCAGGGGGCAGTGCAGCAGCTCCAGGAGACTTCTGGGTAATGAGATTGGAGACAAAAAGTTCAGATCTGGAACACAAGAGAAAATCATGCACATGAGTAAAAATCAATTTCCTTAAATCGGACTTCTTAAAATACTTATTTGTTACCAAATGAGTTCAGTTAGCTAAAAGCACTTGGTGTTGAAAATTCTGTTATCTCATAGGTATTGAATAAAAAATCTAACATTATTARGAAATGAAAGATTCTTTTTACATTTTTTGATACCAAAAGAAAATGAAAATCTTCTCTTAAGAGCAACCAGAAGCTGTCCTGAGATAGAGTCAAGGAAAGAATAAGATCAAATAGTCTTTAAGAACAAGGATCACAAAGGCATCAATTTACCCAGAGAGGGTTTTGCACGCTTTTATAAGAGTCAGAGAATTAAAGGAGGGATGGGATGAAAGACTATCACTGACTTTCATTAAGTTCTCCCTAAATCTACTAGACATCTAGTCAATCAAGTATCAATCAAGGCTAAATTATGTTTATTGAAAATAATGAAATTCAGGAAACAAAGAGAATGAAAAAAATAAAAAAGCTTTTCCGTGTCTCATTCTCATATCATTAATAAAAATAGGGAGTTTTCCTTTCCAACTTAGTCTGAGCTACACAAGTGATATTTAAAGCAGAACATCCCTGTGACCCAGCCAATCCTGATACAAATCCACACTAGGTTTCTACACTGACAATAAACATTGAATGGAGGGAGAAATGTTCATAATGAGGTGAAATCTAAAGATTATCAGCTCATCTTTGGAAAGGAAATACAAATGATCTTCTTAACCTTTTATAACTGTTCAGACTCACCAATAACAACTTAGAAAAATATAACTTGCCCTAGGTGAATAACGAGAATATACTGTTTAGTTTTTTAAAAAACAACTTCCCACTAGACATTTCTGGAAGGTTAAGGTTACATGTTTTTGTTTGTTTGTTTGTGGACTTCTTTTTCATATAAAGGTAAAACATTTAGCAGCTTTAAGAACACTTGAAATGCATTTTTCTTATTATCATTGCCTAATGCTTTCTTCTTTTTCTCAGTGCTGAGATTGAATCCAGGACTTCAAACGTGCTAAGCACGTGCCCTACCACTGACCTCCACCCCCAACCCCACCTAGTGCTTTTTAAGGTGTTTCAGTTATACACACCATAATATCTATAAAACTTATACACTGACAAATACTTTCCAAGAGTTGGAATGCTGTGGTAATACTGCCAAAGGCTCCTCATATTTCTTCTCCTCACATTTCACAGATGTGAGCAGACAGCAAGGCAAAAGCCTGTTCTTCTGGAGAGATCTTCAAGGTTAAGATCCTTCCAAATTTTCCCCCACTGCCAGTCTCTTGCTTCAACCAAATACATATTTCCAAACACCAAATTTATTTCATTTGACTTTGAACCACTGTTCCTCTTTGTGTCTGTAGAAGGTACTAAAGGGATCAATGTTGATAACATATGAAAACTGTTTTTCTTATAAGCAAGGTCCCAGCTGGTTGTGATGGCATGAAGCCATTATTCCAGTTCCATGGGAGGCTGAGACAAGAAGGAGCCCAGGAGTTTGAGGTAGGGTTGGGCAACACAGCAAGACTGTCTTAAAAAATGAAAAAAAAGAAAAAAGATAAAAAAGAAAAGCCCTAGGGCACAACAGTGTGAGCACAATTAATACCACCAAACTGTACATTTAAAAGCAAATTCAAATGGTCAATTTTGTGCTGTGTATTTTACCATGATTAAAAAAAAAAGATGAAAGCCAAATCAGGCAGTATAAAACACAATTGTTTGTTCATGAAATCAAAAGGTAGAATAGGAAAGAGAAGCAAGCAAACCTTTTAGAAATCTGTGGTAGGCATGATACAGACTTCTCATGGCCAGCTCTTGCAGAGGCAGGACGTGATCGTTCTCTGTCCCTATGGCCTTCACCTCAGCTGGGAGGAAGACAGTCAGCTGCCCCGATGAAAAGGAGAGCAGCTTTACCTCAGACACTTGGATGGGGGCTCCGCAGCTGCAGACAGACACACACCCACAGTGGTATTAGCAATGAGGGAAAGAATACAGGGCCAGCTCACATGTGAGGATCACAACACACATCTGAAAACTGACAGCTCTGCTGAACTGCCAGAACAGATGCTGTCCTGGGCTCCTTAATACAACCTGCCTCTGAAATAGAAACTCTTCAGTTGGAGTGCTGCTAAATCACGGCTGAGGCACAGTCACTTACAGCAAGGACAATGTGGAACAAGCTTTCCTTCATGGGATTTATACAATTTTCTTTGTAAACTCTATTTTTCCTTCTTTTACTGCCCTCTCCAWGTTTATGTTGATGGAAACTTTCGGAATTAAAAGAAAAAAAAAGTACTTTATCAAGTACTTTCTATCTTAGTCTAATACAGTTTTTGTGTAGAAAATCCTAAATCCCCAAAGCAAGGAGATTTTAAATGGTACAAGATAACTTTGGGGGATCTTTCCATAAAAATGTGAGGACAATATTTTGGTGTATAGAATGGGCCAAGTCGTGTCCTATTCCCTGCAGCCCCTTGTAACCAGAAGGCAGAGATGTCCTTGTTCCTTTCGCTGCAGGGGTCTGCTCTCCTTCTGCCTCCTGTCTGAGGCCATCAGGTTACTTTTCTCTAAAGGCAAATGGTGCCAACAAACCCTGGTTCTCTAAACACAAGATAAAATATCTATGACCTTGACCAGAAACAGGTAATGAAGCATTGGGCTCAAGACTAGAAGGTGAAGCCCTGGACTCATTTATTCATTAGAGATTCTTTTATTTGCTCTTTGTTCTATTATGAAGTGGTTCCAGAACACCTACTATATGCCAGTCAATCAAGATACTGAAATGAAAAACAAAACAAAACAACATGATCTCTTTCCTCAGGAAGATAACGTAATAGGGGCAGAGAAGAAGGGGTGACTGACTGTTCAGGGAACTAGAGAAAACTTTACAAAGGAGTCAATATCTGACTTACAGCTCAACTGATTGATTCCACCAGGAATAAATGAAGGATACAGGTACTAGTGTGCCAAGTAAAGAGAATACCATGTGCGGCAGCAGCAAAGCCTGACAGAATGTGGCTATGTCTGTGGTCTCAAGGGAGCTGGGAAAAGGGACACTGAGGTATGGAGGGGTGGGAAGAGGAGGCCAAGAATATTAGCAGAAGTTAGATGGTTTTAATTCTTGGGGAAGACTGTTAGATGGTTTTTACAAAGTTATCTGGCCACAACGTGGTAGTCTGGTGGCAAATAGGGGTAAAGAAAACCTCAAGCACAGAATCAAACAGGAATGAGGAAGTTGTCAGAGCCTTGAAAGAGAGCATAACATAAGCAGAAGGCCTGGAGTAGCCTTGTGGGGGAGACGCTGGTGGCTTTTCACTAAGTTCCCACAGTGAGTACTACATACTTTACAACTATTCATAGTTGGGGGTGTTTGATCTATTTGAAAAAGAAATGTCATTAAATTTCAGGAGGAGGAAACACGTGAGGTGGGTTGGACAAATTCCATACCATGACTTCTTATTTCACATTTTTTTAAAATTGATTTGATCTTAAGAGCTCTGGTTTTAGCCAGGAATGTGTATTTTAAAAGATTATTCAAAAAATCTAGAATTAAAAACTAAAATTATAAAAAATAATGCATGATCTTTTTTATAAGTTTATGTTTATATAAAAAATGAAGGACAAGTGAACAGTTTCTCCTAAGTTTCCCTCCTTCAAACTCTATTTCTTGACCCTCTGTAAAGTAACCACAATTATMAGTGTGTTTATCATTCTACTGTGTTCTCTATGCTCAGGCAAGAATACAGAGTTAGAYATTCTTTTTCTATCTGTTTTTTTCCCCTTGTCAAATGGGATCACACAATACTGTGATGTGGTTTTTTGTTTACATAATTGTTTAGGTTGATCAAGATAGATTTAGAGAAATACTTTTAACAGTCACATAATATTCCATAGTACTGGATGAACCATAATTTATTTATTAACTTATTCACTAGGCTCACCTCTTCTTCTTTTTAAGGTTTTCCTTTCTACTAACAAATAAGGTTATAATAAATGTGTACAAACATTCTTATGCATGTATGTKTTCATTATTGTAAGATAAAAGTCCCCAAAAGGGGATTGCTGGCCATGAAAACTAAAAAATTTCAATGTGTGAGATCTTTCCAAAAAAGTTATATGAAAGTATCCATTTCTCCACATCATCATCAGAACTGGACATTATCAATCATTTTAACCTCTTTCCAATGTGRTTAATGAAAAGCATCATCTTGGTTCCTAAGTTCAATCACCTTTGATTTGTTTATTGGCCATTTGCATTTACTCTTCTGTGAACTGTCCTTTGCCTTCACATCCTTTGCCTTATTTCTATTGAATTAAAAAAAAATTCTTAGGAACTTCCATATTGGCAGAACAATCCTTTGCTATATTATTTCCAAAAAAATTTCTGTCTTATAACTCTGCATATGGAGCCTTTTACCATTCAGTAGTCATTCTTTCCTGATGTCAAATCTACCCACTTATTTAGTTCATGGCATCAAACTTTWATGATTTTCTGAAGAGGGCTCCCTAATTTGAAGATTGTACATATATAATACTAAAGCTGCTTCTTGTACACTTACTATATTATTTTTACATGTAGATGGTTATCTTTTTTTATATGACATAAATTAGGACTCAATTTTTTTCTTCCAAATGGACAAATAATATTGGTAGCATTATTAAATAAAATTATAATTTACCTCTGAATTAAAATGCTTTTTTATTTTTTAACCACATTAAGATCTCAAACACCCTTGWATTAATGTTTAGAGTTCTTGATCTGTTCCAATGATGCATTTGTTTAATCCTATGTYAATTCTACATTGTTTTGATTATAATAATTTTTATAGAAGATTGCATCATCTCATGTCTGCCCTATTTCTTGTTAAATATTTTTCTTGCAATTCTCATTTGTTTATTATTCTATTTAAACTTTACAAGCATTTTATCCAGAGATTCTTAAAACCTCCTTAGTATTCAGGAGTAGAATGTCAATTTAAATGTTCATTTGGGTAAGTCAGGGTTTTCAACATTAAGTATAATATTAACTATTGGATTTTTGTAGATTTATTTTATYTAATGAGGAAATCCCCTTCCATCTCTAGTTGAATTTTTTTTTTTTTTTAAATTAGGAATGACTGTAGCATTTATTTCCCTTAGAGTAAGTAGGAATAGAAAGCAGAGGCTGTCTTAGGGACTGAAGCCTAACTTCAAATCACCTCAGTCTGAGAAATTGGATTAATTGCCAGCAAGAACAAACTGTCATTGTATTGGCAGGCCCATCCAGGAGATCTCATCAGTAATTTGAACAGGGAAAACTGTAAAATTTGTCAGCCAGATTGTTAACTATTGAGAGGAGTACAGAATTAGTAAAAGCAGGGGCTTAGTATGGTAGAGCCCTTGCTTAGCATGCCCCAGGCCCTGGGTTTAATCCTCAGGCCCTTCCCCTGCCTCTCCCCCCCCCCCAAATACACACACACACACACACTTAAAGTAACAAAGAGCAAAAAAGCAGCAATTCCCTCTATATATATATATATGAAAAGACAGACACTTAAAAAGTTACAACCTTTCAGCCAGGTGCAATGGCACATGCCTGTATCCCACTATTGAGAGGAGTACAGAATTAGTAAAAGCAGGGGCTTAGTATGGTAGAGCCCTTGCTTAGCATGCCCCAGGCCCTGGGTTTAATCCTCAGGCCCTTCCCCTGCCTCTCCCCCCCCCCCACACACACACACACACACACACTTAAAGTAACAAAGAGCAAAAAAGCAGCAATTCCCTCTAGAATTTAGAATGTGAAAAGACAGTCACTTACAAAGTTACAACCTTTCAGCCAGGTGCAATGGCACATGCCTGTATCCCACTGATCCATGAGGCTGAGGTAAGACAATCTAAAGTCTGAGGGCAACCTGGGCAACTTAAAGTTGCAAACTTTTGGGGAACTCTTTGGGTTCTTATGTCTTGAGGCCAGGAGATATGTTGGAGAATTAAGTACTACAATGATCTGTATGTGGTCACACAATAGGATGGTCATTTAAAGAAATGATTATTTAGGAAAGTAGGAGTTATCTGTCAAATGGTGTCAAATGGAATTTTGGCAGATGTCTGACATTTTTTATCAACTTGGAAGGGCATGGTGCCCAGCCATTTTGTCAAATATCAGTCTAGATTTCTCTATGAAGGTATTTTAAAGATGAGATTAACATTTAAATCAGTAGACCTTGAGAGTAACAGACACCCTCCATGATGAGAGTGGGTCTCATCCAAACAGTTGAAGTTCYTAAGAATAAAGAGTAAGGTTTTCCAAAGAAAATTCTCTCTCTGGATTGCCTTTTGACTTAATCTGAGGCATCAACCCTTCCCTGGGTAGACTGCCTGATGGCCTGCCCTGCATATTTTATACTTGCCAGCCCCCACCACTGTGTGAGCTAAACCCTAACAGACATGGTGAAATGATATGTTTCCAAACTTTGTAGCCAGGCTTTAGTATGAGAACCCTGAAAAAAAATCATAAAACAATGAAAATGTAGTATAAAAAGTAAGTCCTTCATGAATATTTATTTCCTACTGTCAGTGCCTTACCAGCTGCTACTTCTGAACCCAGCTGTGGATACATTCTATGTGGATGATGCCCAGAGAATTGAACAATATGGAATAACAAATAGAGTTGTAGAAAATGGAAAGATAGATTCTTCCTTTTTCCTTTTTTTTTTCCCCCTTCAGCACCAGGAATTGAATCAAATCCAGGGCCTCATGCATACCAGGCAAGTTCTCTACCACTGAGCCATAACCCCTCCACCCCATTCTTCCTAATGCTTTCATTGTCTCCAATAATTAAAAAGACAGATGCTGATTAAACAAACAAAAAAGCTCACATTAACAAGTGTATCCTTATTTTATATAAAGTTTAATTTCCCTTCAATAATTCTTTTAGCAGAMGTTCCTACTCTTTAACACTGG